AAAGGAGAATGGAATACAGTATATTTGAAAAGCCTAAAATTGAAAAATACATTGAGATGAAGCCGCCCCTATGTGTGGATGCTATTTCTCAAAAATCTATTACATTTAAGTAGGGACCAGCACAGAGTCCAGTAGGACAGTGTCACAAGGCTCCATAGTCATAGGCCTACACTTCACAACTGTTGGAGGGAATGCACAGCCGCCCTTGATTGTGAATTAAATGTAGAATTAAATGTGTGCAACACAAGAGGTAAATAACAGTTTTCCATCAACAGAATTAGCGCGTGAATTTCAAGTTTGGGGAAGCTAATTTTCATCATAAAATTCACGTTTATAATGAAGCATTCCATGCATCATCGCGTTTGCAGACTCATTTAAGATAGCCGACTATTCGTAATGTGATGAGTAGATTGAATAGTCATAATTTAGGCTAATAGTATAGCTCAATCACTGTTTGCAAAAAAGACCGTTCAACAGAGTACAAATTACACCATGACATTTGGGGGTCTCCAAAACAATGTATGGGCCTAATAATAAGGACGTAATTTAAACGGTAAAAATTATATCTGTTACAAAGCACCAAAAAGTGCTTAATGACATTCAGCGATTGCCATTGATTAGGCCTACATTAATTGCTAACAAATTGACATTTTTTGTAGCCTGAAATGTCGGGACACCTGAAATGGGGCTGAAACTGTCCTGGGAAAAACGTAATGGTCAACCTAATACACATGGTCAACTACTAGAATAAGCTACAATGTGTATTACTATGAACTTCAAAGAGGCCTACAGGTAGCCAGTGATGTAGTGGTAAGAAAATAGGTGGGTAAACTCTGATTGCCGGTCAGATTATTATTTTACTATTTTTTACAATTAATTTACTTGCGTTTACCCTCTACTAGGCCTACACCACTGCTGGTAGCCTACATTCTCAGCCGAGGCAATTTTACACACATGAATAGACGCAGAACAGGTTGCCTATATTAAATATAATACATGAGTTGAAACAAAACATGTTTTACACCCTAGTTCATGAGTTGTCCATAACTCATGAGTTAATGCTTGGAGTCTTCACAGATCGTGTGACAAAAAACACTACCTTTCTTTCCTTACATTAACGACATTTATGACGGCGTTATTTGTCATTATTAAGCATTTAACAATTGAATTAGAACATTGAACTTTAACCCTGTACGAATCATGGATCTTGGAGATCTCATTATGTTTCGACATGAAAACAGTCCAAAAAAATCCAAAATAATATTATTTTCATATTTACCACTGTAAAACATATTTACCACAACATTTTAAACAACAGGAGAATGGTTAAATTAGCATTATTTAGAGACCCCCCAAAGTTTGAAGGGGAGCTAATGTCTCATTGAGGGGAGCTGTTCAATGCATAGCTGAGTGCGTATAGCGTAGAGTAGATCTAGGCTATATGCTAGCTTATGTCAGATAAACGTCTTCTTTCTTTAAAGTGAAAAAAATTAAAATGTGGCCTTTTATAAACCTATTTCATGCACTTCTACTACATTTGATATGACTGGAGACATTAACAGACTCTTTCTCAATAAGACAAATTACAAGGTAGCCTACTCTGCTGACACTGACAAACGGATCAATAAAAACGAGAAGGGGAGAGAAACTGGAGGAGGAAATAATTGTCCAAAAATAAACTTTTAAGTGGCACTGACCTGACAATGATAAAGTGTGAATATGCGCAGTGCGCACTCACCGGGGATATGGCTGATGTTTTCCGCTGGTGCCAATAAGAAACACTATAAGGTCAATTAGGTTGAGAATTTTGATAACTAAAATTGTTTTCATTGTATTCTCTTTACAGCAATAGCCATTTACTTTCCAAACTATGTTTTCCCGCGATTGTATTTTGAATTATTGCGATATGCCTGGCTAGGCCTCTACTTATCACTGACTGTCTCAATTCAACAATCATCTATTTGGTATTTGCCGTGCGAGCTGCCCAAATTGCTTGCGCTGCCTTTCATTCCGACTGTAGGCAATGCGATTTAAAACAATCCATAACTTATTTGTTTAAAAGAAGCCAATGATCCTCTTTGGCCAAATCATGCTTTAGTAGCTTTTTTGAATGATTGTATTTATTTCTGTATAGACAGGAGTAGGCGAAAAGGCTATATAATTTTGCCAATTTAATTCAATTTACTTTAGGGAAAGCTTAGCTTCCCCTAGCCTTACAGACGCCCCGCCTATGTGTAGGGAGGTAAAGTGATATCATAAGGGAATAGCTTAGACTGCACCTCCCGGTAGGACTAGATAGGACTTCAATTAAAATGTTTAACTTGTTATAGCCTACAATTCACAATAACAGGAAGAAAAAAATACATTTAATCACCAAAATAAAATGAAGAGAAACTGTCATGATGACACTTCGTTTAATAGTTGAAGTGTTGGCTAATGGTTTACAGAAACATAAGGAAGCTATCCGATTTTAGTTCAAACTCAATACTAAGTCGCTCAAACAAGATACTAAGTCGTTTGAACGATTTACTAAGTTGTTCAAATGAGATAATTCCAAGAGTCTAAGTTATTTAAAATGTTTTGCCTTGGGCTTCAGGGCTTCCATAATTATTCCAACCTCATAGTGTGGAAATATAATATATATATATAAACACAGGAAAATCTCGTTTTTGACTGCCCTAGGGCTTCAACACATCAGCACCCAACACACGGCCTCTCACTGGAATGTGTTTCAGATAGAAAGAGAGAAGCAAAAAGTGAGAGACAGAGGGGGAGAGACAGAGTGGGGGACAGTGGGAGAGAAGGGAGTGACTGCAGGAGAGAGAGAGAGAGAGAGAGAGCGCAAGAGAGAGAGAGAGAGAGCGAGAGAGAGAGAGAGAGAGAGAGAGAGAGAGAGAGAGAGAGAAGAGAGAGAGAGAATGGAGAGAGAATGAGAGAGGAGAGATATCGATCGAGAGATGAGAGAGACTAGAGAGGAAATACAAAAGAATGGAGAGATGTGAAAACCAAAGAGAGAGTAAGAACTCAGACATGTGCATGTACAAAGAATGACAGAGAAATAAATTGCTGCTTAAACTTCCTACATTTCACCACACCTGGCTACATATGAATTATTTTGCATTAAGTTTCATAAGAAAGAAACTTTCGCAATATGTTACATTTCTCATACCGCTTTTTCATCCTGTGAAGAGATCTCTAAAATGTTCTAAAAGAAAAACAAAAAAATCAACATGGGATACCTTCTGAGCCCTGACCTAGCCCCAATTGCATATTGCTGATAATAACACTGTCGTAACGTTTAAAGAACCTAACACAAACATTGTGTGACAACAAGGACCGATTGGACAGGTCTGCTAGTATATGGGAAAGGTTTTTCTCCCATGATGACGTTGGACAAACTGAGGTGTTGTGCTTTGAACGATTGGTAAGGAACAGTGCAAAATACAGATATACGTATGGTCAATATAATGATTTTGTTTTGAATGGATACATTACCAATCGATTGGTAAAAAATTAGCTATATAGTTGAACTGTATTTGAAAGTCTGCTGACCATGACGTTTCATAGAAGTTCCTTATCGTTTATAAACATAAAACATAAAGTGAAATATACATGTATATTTACCAGTCATATGATATGATGTAAAATGTATGTACCTGTACACTGCTCTTTCCATGACATAGACTGACCAGGTGAATCCAGGTGAAATAAATGATCCCTTATTGATGTCACTGGTTAAATCCACTTCAATCAGTGTAGATGAAGGGGAGAAGACAGGTTAAATAAGTATTTTTAAGCTTTGAGACAATTGAGACATGGATTGTGTATGTGTGCCATTCAGTGGGTGAATGGGCAAGAAACATATTTAAGTGCATTTGAGCAGGGTATGGTAGTAGGTGCCAGGCGCACAGGTTTGAGTGTGTCAAGAACTGCAACGCTGCTGTGTTTTTCATGCTCAACAGTTTCCCATGTGTATCAAGAATGGTCCAACACCCAAAGGACATCCAGCCAACTTGACACAACTGTGGGAAACCTTTTAGAGTCCATGCCCCGACGAATTTAGGCTGTTCTGAGGGCAAAAGGGGGTGCAGCTCAATATTAGGAAAGTGTTCCTAAACGTTTTGTACACTGTGTATATTTACCAACAGTGGAGGTTGCCGAGGGGAGAACGGCTCATAATAATGGCACAAATGGAATGGCATCAAACACTGGAAACCATGCGTTTGATGTATTTGATACCATTCCACTGACTCCACTCTAGTCATTACTCCAGTCATTACCACGAGCCCATTCTCCCCAATTAAGGTGCCACCAACCGTTATAGTGACGGATGAAGAGTCTAACTGTTTCAATGTCAGTTACCTCTAATTTCATTATGCTTTAGACTCACAAACACAACGACAGACACACATACGGTCGTGAGCGCACACAGAGTCATGCCAAACATACAGACGTGCACACACAATCATACACACACCTACATAATAAATATACAGACAGAGACACATTTTATACACGCACACACATCCATTTATTTCTTCTCTAGCCTCTACTGGTACTTTACTTGCTGGTCTCATTGCCTCTGAGGCAATTTAACAACTCTATGTCGCTTTATAATGACTAAGTCATGTCTGGTGGACATGCCATAGAACACACTCGTATGCTGGCATCTACTGGATCAATGGCAGTGTCTGACCAAGTGCTGTTTGGGAGTGTGTGTGTGTTGGTGCATGTGTTCCGAGGCTCTGACATAGGCAAGCTATTCGCGCACACACACACACACACCTGATGCGCACAGACACACATACACACTAGATCTAGTTGGGTCTATTCAGTGGTGTTTCTGTAGCTGATCCATAGGGCTGAGAGAGCATGGGATCAGTGGTTTGTTAACAGTGCCACTGAGTAACATGGTCCCTAGGTCTGTCCATTCATCCATCTGTCCCTCTTTCTTTCTGTCTGTCTGTCTGGCTGCAGGAGCCTGGTTGGTCCTCTATCCTCTAGGGGCCGCCACTGTAGGAGTATTCTGCCTTGTTGTGCATCACCAGCTTGTTGTCCACAAAGTAGAAGCTGTCGGACTGCGTCTTGTACGGGTGCAGGATCATCTCTCGCACTGCAGGGGGCGACAGACACACAGTCACATTGTATAGATTAAAGCCAAACAAATCAAAATCACCACATACCACCACTGTCTGTGTGTGTGTGTGTGTGTGTGTGTGTGTGTGTGTGTGTGTGTGTGTGTACGTGTGTACTCACTGACATCTTCAGACAGAGGGGGGAACTCGTAGATGTGTTCGCAGGTGTTCTTGCTACTGGGCATACAGAAGCCAAATTCAAAATCAAAGCTCTTGAGCAGCTTCTCCCTGAAGTAGTGCCTCTCAATCATCCGGAGGTTCTCTATGGGCATGTCTCCTACGGTGAACTCAACACTGAGAGTGAGCGAAGGATGGAGAGAGAGGGGCGATGAAGAGATTAAGCGAGAGAGAGTAACAGGGTTGTTTAGCAGATGTTATTGCCGGTGTAGCGAAATGCTTGTGCTTCTAGCTCTGACAGTGCAGTAATATATAATAAGTAATATCTAAAAATTTCACAACATATACCCAATACACACAAATCTAAGTAAGGAATGGAATTTAAGAAAATATACATATATGGACAAGCAATGACAGAGCGGCATGGACTAAGATACAGTAGAATATTATAGAATACAGTATATACATATGAGATGAGTAATGCAAGATATGTAAACATTATTAAAGTGACTGTAAACATTATTAAAGTGACTAGTGTTCCATTTCTTAAAGTGGCCAGTGATTTCAATAAGCAGCAGCAGCCTCTAGTGTGCTAGTGATGGCTATTTAACAGTCTGATGGCCTTGAGATAGAATCTGTTTTTCATTCTCTCGGTCCCAGCTTTGATGCACCTGTATTAACCTCGCCTTCTGGATGATAGCAGGGTGAACAGGCAGTGGCTCAGATGGTTGATGTCCTTGATGATCTTTTTGGCCTTCCTGTGACATCGGGTGCTGTAGGTGTCCTGGAGGGCGGGTAGTTTGGCCCCGGTAATGCGTTCGGCAGACCGCACCAACCTCTGGAGAGCCCTGCGGTTGCGGGCGGTGTAGTTGCCGTACCAGCCGGTGATACAGCCCGACATGATGCTCTCAATTGTGTAAAAGTTTGTGAGGGTTTTAGGTGCCTAGACAAATTTATTCAGCCTCCTGAGGTTGAAGAGGCTCTGTTGCGCCTTGTTCACGACACTGTCAGCGTGGGTGGACCATTTCAGTTTGTCAGTGATGTGTACGCCAAGGAACTTGAAGGTTTCCACCTTCTCCACTATGGTCCCGTCAATGTGGATAGGGGGGTGCACCCTCTGCTGTTTCCTGAAGTCCACGATCATCTCCTTTGTTTTGTTGACGTTGAGTGAGAGGTTATTTTCCTGGCACCACACTCCCAGAGCCCTCACCTCCTCCCTGTAGGCTGTCTCGTCATTGTTGGTAATCAAGCCTACTTCTGTAGTGTCATCTGCAAACTTGATGATTGAGTTGGAGGCGTGCTTGGCCACGCAGTCATGGGTGAACAGGGAGTACAGGAGGGAGCTGAGCACGCACTCTTGAGGGGCCCAGAGTTGAGGATCAGCGAAGTGGAGATGTTGTTACCTACCTTCACCACCTGGGGGCAGTGTGCAGTGTAATGGCGATTGCATCGTCTGTGGATCTATTGGGGCGGTAAGCAAATTGAAGTAGGTCTAGGGTGACAGGTAAGGTAGAGGTGATATGATCCTTGACTAGTCTCTCAAAGCACTTCATGATGACAGAGGTGAGTGCTACTGGGCGATAGTCATTTAGTTCAGTTACCTTTGCTTTCTTAGGTACAGGAACAGTGATGGCCATCTTGAAGCATGTGGGGACAGCAGACTGGGATAGGGAGAGATTGAATATGTCCGTAAACACACCAGCCAGCTGGTCTGCACATGCTCTGAGGACGCAGCTAGGGATGCCGTCTGGGCCGGCAGCCTTGCGGGGGTTAACATGCTTAAATGTCTCACTCACGTCGGCCACGGAGAAGGAGAGCCCACAGTCCTTGGTAGAGGGCTGCGTTGGTGGCACTGTGTTATCCTCAAAGCTGGCGAAGAAGGTGTTTAGCTTGTCCGGAAGCAAGACGTCGGTGTCGGCAACATGGCTGGTTTTCCTTTTGTAGTCCATGATTGTCTGTAGACCCTGCCACATACGTCTCATGTCTGAACCGTTGAATTGCGACTCCACTTTGTCTCTATACTCATGTTTTGCCTGTTTAATTGCCTTGCGGAGTGAGTAGCTACACTGTTTGTATTCTGCCATATTCCCAGTCACCTTGCCATGGTTAAATGCGGTGGTTCGCGCTTTCAATGCTGCCATCTATCCACGGTTTCTGGTTAGGGTAGGTTTCAAATGTCACAGTGGGCACAACATCTCCTCCTTCCCTCAAGCAGGCAATTGAAGATGAACGTGGCTGGGTCTTTCAGCATGACAATGAAATCCAAACACACCGCCCTGGCCACGAAGGAGTGGCTTCGTAAGAAGCATTCAAGGTCCTGGAGTGCCTATGCTATCCAGTCTCCAGATCTCAACCCCAGAGAACATTTTGGAGGGAGTTGAATAGTCCGTGTTTCCGCCTCGCCAGGCCCCAAAACATCACTCACTGCTCTAGGGAGATTCTGCATGGAATGGCCAAAATACCAGGCTACAGTGTGTGAACCTTGTGAAGACTTACAGAAAATGTTTGACCTGTGTCATTGCCAACAAAGGGTATATAACAAAGTATTGAGAAACTTGTGTTACTGACCAAATACTTATTTTCCACCATAATTTGCAAATAAATTCATAAAAAATCCTACAATGTGATTTTCTGGATATTTTTTTCTCATTTTGTCTGTCATAGTTGACGTGTACCTATGATGAAAATTACAGGCCTCTCTCATCTTTTTAAGTGGGAGAACTTGCACAATTGGTGGCTGACTAAATACTTTTTTTCCCCACTGTACATATGAGATGAGTAATGCAAGATATGTAAACATTATTAAAGTGACTGTAAACATTATTAAAGTGACTAGTGTTCCATTTCTTAAAGTGGCCAGTGATTTCAATAAGCAGCAGCAGCCTCTAGTGTGCTAGTGATGGCTATTTAACAGTCTGATGGCCTTGAGATAGAAGCTGTTTTTCATTCTCTCGGTCCCAGCTTTGATGCACCTGTATTAACCTCGCCTTCTGGATGATAGCAGGGTGAACAGGCAGTGGCTCAGATGGTTGATGTCCTTGATGATCTTTTTGGCCTTCCTGTGACATCGGGTGCTGTAGATGTCCTGGAGGGCGGGTAGTTTGGCCCCGGTAATGCGTTCGGCAGACCGCACCAACCTCTGGAGAGCCGTGTGGTTGCGGGCGGTGTAGTTGCCGTACCAGCCGGTGATACAGCCCGACATGATGCTCTCAATTGTGCATCTCTAAAAGTTTGTGAGGATTTTAGGTGCCTAGACAAATTTCTTCAGCCTCCTGAGGTTGAAGAGGCTCTGTTGCGCCTTGTTCACCACACTGTCAGCGTGGGTGGACCATTTCAGTTTGTCAGTGATGTGTACGCCAAGGAACTTGAAGGTTTCCACCTTCTCCACTATGGTCCCGTCAATGTGGATAGGGGGGTGCACCCTCTGCTGTTTCCTGAAGTCCACGATCATCTCCTTTGTTTTGTTGACGTTGAGTGAGAGGTTATTTTCCTGGCACCACACTCCCAGAGCCCTCACCTCCTCCCTGTAGGCTGTCTCGTCATTGTTGGTAATCAAGCCTACTTCTGTAGTGTCATCTGCAAACTTGATGATTGAGTTGGAGGCGTGCTTGGCCACGCAGTCATGGGTGAACAGGGAGTACAGGAGGGAGCTGAGCACGCACTCTTGAGGGGCCCAGAGTTGAGGATCAGCGAAGTGGAGATGTTGTTACCTACCTTCACCACCTGGGGGCAGTGTGCAGTGTAATGGCGATTGCATCGTCTGTGGATCTATTGGGGCGGTAAGCAAATTGAAGTAGGTCTAGGGTGACAGGTAAGGTAGAGGTGATATGATCCTTGACTAGTCTCTCAAAGCACTTCATGATGACAGAGGTGAGTGCTACTGGGCGATAGTCATTTAGTTCAGTTACCTTTGCTTTCTTAGGTACAGGAACAGTGATGGCCATCTTGAAGCATGTGGGGACAGCAGACTGGGATAGGGAGAGATTGAATATGTCCGTAAACACACCAGCCAGCTGGTCTGCACATGCTCTGAGGACGCAGCTAGGGATGCCGTCTGGGCCGGCAGCCTTGCGGGGGTTAACATGCTTAAATGTCTCACTCACGTCGGCCACGGAGAAGGAGAGCCCACAGTCCTTGGTAGAGGGCTGCGTTGGTGGCACTGTGTTATCCTCAAAGCTGGCGAAGAAGGTGTTTAGCTTGTCCGGAAGCAAGACGTCGGTGTCGGCAACGTGGCTGGTTTTCCTTTTGTAGTCCATGATTGTCTGTAGACCCTGCCACATATGTCTCATGTCTGAACCGTTGAATTGCGACTCCACTTTGTCTCTATACTCATGTTTTGCCTGTTTAATTGCCTTGCGGAGTGAGTAGCTACACTGTTTGTATTCTGCCATATTCCCAGTCACCTTGCCATGGTTAAATGCGGTGGTTCGCGCTTTCAATGCTGCCATCTATCCACGGTTTCTGGTTAGGGTAGGTTTCAAATGTCACAGTGGGCACAACATCTCCTATACACTTCCTGATAAACTCAGTCACTGTTTCAGTGTATTCGTCAAAATTATTTTCGCAAGCTACCCAGAACATATCCCAGTCCGCGTGATCAAAACAATCTTGAAGTGTGGATTCCGTTTGGTCAGACCAGCGTTGAATAGTCTTTAGAACGGGTACTTCCTGTTTGAGTTTCTGCCTATAGGAAGGGAGGAGCAAAATGGAGTCATGGTCAGATTTGCCAAAAGGAGGGTGGCGAGGGCCTTTTAACCATCCCGGAAGTTCGAATAGCAATGGTAGAGAATTTTTGTAGCCTGTGTACAACAGTCGATATGTTGATAGAACTTCGGCATTCTAGTCCTCAAATTTGCTTTGTTAAGATCCCCGGCTACAATAAATGCAACCTCAGGATATATGGTTTCCAGTTTGCATAAAGTCCAGTGAAGTTCTTTAAGGGCTGTCGTGGTATCGGCTTGAGGGGGGATATACACGGCCGTGACTATAACCTAAGAAAATTATCTTGGGAGATAATACGGTCTGCATTTGATTGTGAGGTATTCTAGGTCGGGTGAACAAAAGGACTTGAGTTCCTGTATGTTACACCATGGGTCGTTAATCATGAAACACACACCTCCGCCCTTCTGCTTCCCGGAGAGATAACATATTTCTG